AACCTGAATGAAGAAATGTTTGAAAAAAAAGCACGGTTAATCAAAAGAAATGAATGCTGAATGTGAAATACATCCTAAAACCGAATTTAATGTTGTGTTTAATAATAAATGCAGTTGAGAAAAATAAGTATACTGAACGGGAACGTAACAATGTTAATTTTTATTGTAAATAATTCTAAAGCTTCGAAAACCACTTTTAGAAGAAACACGAAGCATAGGTAAAGTCCATATTGAAAAGGAAGATAACTTATAGAATAATATATAATTAAATAAAATGACTTATAGAATAAAATAACAAAAGAATATGTCAAATTTCATAGTATGTAATGTTTAACGCTAGATAGTTCTTAGATACTAGAGTCTGACAAGCATTCTTGACATGTTCTGTAGGGTTAGATCTAGAGATCAGTTTGGCAATTCATCCGGTTAATATCTTTGTTGTCCAGAAAATCATCCACTAGATTAGCAATGTGTGGACGAGTTTTGGCGTTCAAATGAAATTAGTATCAACTGCACTCCTAAAAAGGCGAACACAGGCTCTAAAATTATTTTCTTATATCTCGAAGTAGTCACAGAGCTCAGGTCAAATTCAGGAAATTCCGCATGCATGTTCAGCATGTAACCTACCTAATTCCTGAAATCTTCGTTTTTATACTTGTTTACTTCTCGGATGTAAGAGGACAGTTCACCAGGTGGAAGGGAGCACCCAGACCTGGAAATCTCAAATGGCTGCCTTAACACAGTTAAACGCTCCCAACCCCCTATAGGACATCCGTGGAGACATAATCCCCCCGGTCAACCCAGGCCGATGATTTCGATTTAAAAATCTGGGTTTAAGTAACAAAAATAATGCAGTGAATCTCTACTGGTACTTGGTCCAAAGTCTCTGTTCTTTGCAGCTTATTAAGCGAGCTTTCCTGTGGTCAGAATTGAGCTGTTCACAATCAGCAAGTCTCATTGGAATAGGCGAGATAATAAAGGCTTATTTTCGCTTTTTCAGGGGTACAGCTGGATCTTAGTACATTTTTATGAAACACAACGTCCACATGCTGTATGGCATAATAATGTGCTATATCAGATTAATTCTATGCCAAGTCTCATTAAAAGCTGTAAATCATTTCTGAAGATAATCGATCAAATTTGAATGTTCTCTTAACTTAATGAACTTAATGAACTTAGTGAACAACTTAATGAACAACTTAATAACTTAATGAACAACTATACATTAAAATGAAAATTCGTGTAACTGATGATTAATACATCCTATATCATTAAAAGTATATATTAATGAAAAAATTCTGGAAAGGCTCAGATTTTTAAAAGATCGTCCAAAAGTATTTGTTAAAATTGTTTACACTTTTGCTGAGCTCACAGTCTACCAGTCTGATGTTGCACTCGCTCCTGCTACCCCATTTCTTTTTGTATTTTTAGCTTTATCGTTAAGCATAATTTTTTTCTCACTTACGCCGCATGCATTTCAACAGCAAAATTACAAAGATTTTAGTAGCATATGTTTAGTCGCATCGCAGTGTTAAGTGTCGACATAAAGCCTTTTTGAATTTTTTTCAGTCATTTCTCAGTTTACCGTATCAATGTTCAGATTTCTTAGTAACATGGCTTGCAAAACTCTTTTTTCTCATTTTATTATGAACATTTTGTGTGTTAACTTAATTCATTAGCACTTAGTCACATAAAATTCAATTCAACAGCAAAATCACAACATATATTTAGAATTCCGATATACAAACTCCAAAAAACAAAAAACATAAAAATATTTTATTCCGCTGTTCTATGTTGGCACTCCTCGCTTTAAAATCGTTAAGTTTGTTAATCAAAAATTCATTAACGTTTTATAAAATATGAAATTTTAAATTCGAAATTCAAAATTCGAGCTTCCAGGTGCATATGTGCGCGTGAAATACTGTGTTATTCAAAAATTTGATGGCTCTAAGTACCCTCATTTTCTCATAATGCGAGGATTATGCATACATACATGCAGATTCTTCATTATTTAATTTCTTCAAATATAATACACAGAGATAATATTTGGTGGCAACAATTTAAAATGAGACAGCAGTTTATGGTGTATGATGCAAAATCCCAATTCGGAAACAGTAGCTCATACGTGTTAATACCCTTTTAGGCTAAAAATAAAGAAAAAAAAATCAATCAATTATTAAAATAAATCTAGCTAAAAAAAAAAAAAAAAAAAAGAACGAAACTGAAAAGAAGACTAAAATTAAAACCAGATCAAGAAAAATTTCTTTCTTTATGCTTTCTTCATGCAAATTTTATCAGATGAAGTGTTGTCAAGGGAAAATTAAACTTACAATTAGGAGAAAGGTGTAGGTCTGAAGGTAAAAAAAAAAAAAATGTATATGTATGAAAGATGCAAGAATAAGATTAATAGAATAAGAACAAATGCTACCTGAAAAACAGTCTTGTAAAAAGTTATTTTACAATTAATTTACTGAAAATTACTGAAAAAAATTTTGGAATACTGAAAACACATAAAATACAAGATAAGATATATAATATACCAGAAAATCCGAATATTAAGTTAACTTCTGTAGCGACATTGGATTATTTTGAAGCAGGAGAGATGAAAAATGAACAATGCCATTGTCGGGATTCAAACCACGGACCTCTCCAATACGCGTCGAGTGTGCTGACTACTACACCAGGAAGACATGCTAAGAAGGCTGGAGAAATACCTTATATACTCCCACTTTTAAAGGGCGACTGGGGTTTTAAGGGACTCAGTTGCCAAATCTTGGTGGTGAAAAATCATCATTCACCATGTTTTAGTTCGGGCGCCATTGTAAAGACGTTAGGCGATTTCGATGCAGGAGAGATGAAAAATGAGCAATGCCCTCGCCGGGACTCGAACTACGGACCTCTCGAATTCGCGTCGAGCGTGCTGACCACTGCAACACGAAGGCATGCTAAGAAGGCGGGAGAATTGCCTTATACTTTTTCTAAACTTAGCTTCTTAATATGGCAGGAGGGGCGGGAAAAATTGCAGTTTTCACTAATCTTTGGCATTTCGTTTAACAGTTACGATTCGTGTTTTCCGTCTCTTCGTTATGCATTCCCTCTTTGCTTCCTCATCTAGAGGATTCTCAGATTGTAGGCCAAGCGGTTTGTCTTGCCTTGTCGCAGAAGGCTGTGTTAGATTAAACATGATCGCCAGAAATTTGGCACAATTTTGGTAAATGTGAATTTAGTTAGTTAGTCCAATTCAGTTAAAGTCTATACCTTCCTGGGAGCAGTGATGCTGTAGCCAGTTAATTATTTTAAATTTCAGCACACAGTTTAAGTCGAGGAGACTTAAATTTTGTATTTGTGCTATTTTAAATTAATTCACAAGTTGTGAAAAAAGTAATTAAGTTTTTACATTTTATGTGTCTCTTGCTTTCACAATCAGTTTTAACAAAGTGCGATCTCGTCGCTACAATACTGTTTAAGAGTGAGTGGTTAGTAGAAATACCTTTTAGCTCGAAGATCAGCCATCAAATTTTTAAAAAATAAAACTGCTTTAAATACATTATGATACGCAAGAATATCATGCTTTGGAAATAAGTAATAAAACAAAAGAGAAATTAAATGCAAATAGTGTTCAGGAAATATATACTACATCTGATAAATTTTGGATACGGAATTAGGATTATTTTATAAATTCTATATGTCATTTAATTACTTTTAAAATTATTAACTAGTAATATATATATGAATTTAAGTTAAAAAATTATTTTTTAAAAGATTATCTTATGTGAAGAAAACTATCTGTTGCTCAATAAATGGTGTCTATCAATTAAAAGTGAAAATTATTTTAAGCCTAAAATCTAAACCAAACTTTTGTTAGGAGAGCTGAAAAAAAATTAAGATGTGATGTAAACAATTAAATTAAAGAATGAAAACATACAAAAAAATACTTGTAGAGACATTAGGATTTTTTTGGAAGCAAGAGAAGTGAAGAATGAGCAACGCCTTCACCGGGAATCGAACCGCGGACCTCTCGAATACGCGCCCATCGTACAGACCACCACACCACGAAGGCATGCCAAGAAGGCTGGGAAAATACCTTATATATTCCCCTTTCAAAGGCTGACTTGCGTTTTAGGGGACCCAATAGCCAAATCCTAGGTGTGGAGAATCATCATCCAACACCCTTTTAGTTCGGGCGCCACTGTAGAGATATTAGGTATTTTTGGAAGCAGGCAAGATGAAAAATAAACAACTCTTTCCACTGGAATCGAACCATGGATCTCTGGAATACGCGCCAAGCGTGAGTAAAAGCTGGGAAGGCTGGAGAAATACCTTATATACTAATCACCCTTTGTTTAATGCTTCAAACGGAACTTTTCAAGGGGTTTAAGACATTAAACCGGGACGATTAATGAGTGCCGAGCAACATGTTTCATTATTTTTGATATAATGTGATTTAAAACGTTGTAAATTAATCATCTTCTTTTTAAAATTAGTTTTCTAATAGACTTATAATGTCAAAGAGCTAACTCTACATAATGCCTTTCCCTCTTTGAATTAAAAGCGACAATATATAATATATAAACTTTACAACCGTTTTAGCAAAATGCATTTAAAGTTTTTTTTAATATCTTTATTTATTTTTTATTTTCTGATTATATTTCACTAAACAGCGGACTGTTTTTAAATGCGAAATTATCAAAAAAAACTATTTAATTAATTTAAAAGAGTTATCTTATAAATGAATTAAGTGCGATCACTTTTATATGTAGGACTTTTATATGTTATATCTAAAGAAAGATTTTAATAATCCGAAAAATATTGAAAATAGCACGTTTTCACAAAAAGACGGAGAATTTTTTTTAAATAATAAATATTTTATTCTCCAGATAGTCCCAATTTTCCCCGATAGTTGATATTTCCTTTGTGTTAGAAATTCATACAACGGCGTAGCACAGCTGGCGAATAGCTAAAATTGCAAGTGTTCAATGCAATTGCCGTTAGGTGGGCAAACCAAACACGATGCTCTGCAGATCATCAGAGAAAGTTCAGCTGTAATTTCTCTCACTAGTAGGAAAGAACATTTTTCGGCCAATATCGTCTGTCAACCTGTCTGCATATAAAATAATGTAAAAGTGTAAATAATCTGGCAATTCTGGCGTTATTAAAAATATTATGTCTTTGTGGGCTTTCCTGGGAAAGTCATGCATCTGTAATTTCGAATTTTTGTTACTTGTGGATCACGCAGTATGTCATTTTTCTGTTATCACTCCTACTATTCACTAAATTTTATGTCGCTTAGTTATGAAAATGTCCCAATATTTTTTTTTATAATAATGCCTCTCGGTTTTATTTTTTGTCACATGTGCATAGGTCACATGCGTTTCTATGGTGAAAGAGTGGAAAAAAAATCCAACTTTTTCCAAATGTTGATTTGATGTCGAAATGGTTTCACTGCATGTTAGATGGGAAAATGTAGAAAATGTCCAATTAATTATTTTTTATCATTATTTTATTTATTTATTTACTTTATAATACTCATCGATTGGTAATTATGAATTTTTGTACCATTTCTCACTTTTGGTGGGATTATTGAATAATAAAAAGAGTACTTCGATGTGTGTGTATGTGCAAGTATGAATATAGTGCAGTGTGAAATATGTCCAGAGCTAAGAAACTGAAATAGTTTATTAAGCATTTATTTAAAATTATTCTGCCCATTTATTAAAAATTAGACTTAAACGTGAATCAAAGTCAATGTGTTGTCACATCAAGGAAGACTAGAGATTATTTCTTCTGATTAGTTTCCAACGAATTATAGATCGCCGTCTACATATCTGTGTGGTCTACAGTGTCTGTTTTGCATTCTTGTGGAGCATTCTTCGTGAAACGAATTAAATAAACCGTCCTAGAAGTCTTCCTCTGCGAAATTTCCGAATTTTTTAGATCCACCAGAACAAAACAAGCTAATGAACGTCAAGCCAATAGACCGATTTTATTATAACATGGATAAACATGAAACTTTCATACTTTAGTAATGTACAGAAAGGAAGAGAAATAAAACTTTCTGCTCAAAGTTCTGTTCTTAAAGTTAAGTAAATTCTGTTCTTAACTTTCTGTTAAAAGTTCTTAACTTTTAGTAGAAAGAAAGTAAAGAAGCTTTTTAGCAGAAAGAAGTTAAAAGTTCGTTGACATATCTTTTAAGTCAAATAAATCTCAATCCCGAATTCAGTCCACGCGAAAGATGACAAAGTAGTTAAATTTAACATTTATAAATTTATTGAGGGTTTTTTATACTGTAGCTGCTGCCACATAATATGGCAGTCATTGCTTTATTCATAGTATTTTGTAAACATTTGAACGAAAAAGAATAAATTATTGAGCATTACATTTTAAAACTGAGTTTTATGGGTCATATTAACAAAAGTATTGCATACCATCGTTTGAAAACTAAAAGGCAAACTTAAAAATTAGCAACAATTAACATGATAAAAAAATCTTAATTTAAAAATTAGTATAGAGATTTGAAGGGTGTGGTATATCTTAAATTAATTACTATTTATTTTTGTTTAAAATGTAAAAAGATTTTTTAGATATTAGATCTGATATTTTGTGAACTCTAAGTTTGCATAGTAATTTCTATGACAGATAGGCTTTTCATAAGATTTCCAGGGATACTGAATTCCATTCCTCTTCTGCTTCTTTCCAGAATCCATCAATCGTGGTGGATTTGCACTTACAAAGAACTCTTTTCGAAACAACAGAGGAACAATAATCCATAGGTCAGGGGAGTTTTTAGAATATGTTTAAAAGATTTACATGCATGTATCAGTCTTCAGGTTTTAAAGGAATGCAGTCATATTTTCTCTCAAGTATGATTTGTTGCTTTGCCTTGATGAAGTTTCACTCTTTGAAGGTCACTGCTACAAAGGAATGGAATTTCATCTGCATAGTATATAGGATATAAAACTGTTATGACGAAGAATTTCGACACCAAGGTTAAATAGTTTACTTCTAGGTACCAGTTATATCTGAAATTCCTATATTGTTAAATGTTAAATATGAAACTACTTGCCGTTAAAGGGAGTGATCGTATAGTGAAACGTGTACAGCATTTTTGCGTTGTGAAAAAAAATGCATTCCGGGACCGCGCCGTGAGAGGATCGAAAACATAAAACATATACAAGATATAAAGGAAAAGTTCATATTAAATATATAAAGAAAACATACTGTAAGAGGTTCCAGATTAAATATCAGTTTATTCAATTACAACACAATAAGAAAAATCTTAACCTCATCTGAGAGTCTGTTCATTTAAATTCATAAAAAAACTTAAGGTTGTCTGGTGATTTAAAAGAAAGGAAAGGGAAACAATTTATGGCCTGAGAGTTAAATTTTAGATTCGACGTTGTTTTTACTGCTAAGGACGTTTTTTGAAAAAAACTTGCCTAAAGTTCCAACACACCAAAAAAAATAATACTTATCTTGAGTGGACATCTTGACGTGGAGGAGAGCTCATATCTTAGCTCTATCCTTACGTCACTTGGCAAATCCGCAAGACAGAGACTCGAACGGCACGACAATAAATTACATCAGCTATACCGTCAAATCTTACGCCTGCTACTGGTTTCCATAGAAGAAAATTATTCCCACTGGAAGCAAGAGAACAGCTTGCATCGCACGGCTGTCGGCCTAGACTCTCAGCTCCACCAAGGAAAACGTAGACAATTAAGCTAGGCATTTTAGAGAAACGGCTAACGCAGGCTTCCAGTTGACTAAGGTGACATAATTCCTTCTGTTTTCAAGTCGGAGTTCAGAGGACATCGTCCTGACTTTTGCCGATACAGATAGAGACCCAAGTCTCTGTTAATTTTTTTGTTATTCGCTCAACAGTTTTTTTTTTCTTCGCATTTTTGAGAAAACCCGCGGCCGGGGAGCATAATGCCACTCCCCGCCGGAAGAACTGCTCGATGCCGACTAATCTTTTCCTTTCTCCTTCGCAACACCCACAAGTTTTTTCTCAGTCTCCGTCAACAAGTCCGTCAAGCCCGAAAGTCAGCGAATCCAAGCAGTGAGTGCCTAAGCGAGTCAAGAGTAAGTGTGTCTCGCCTCTTAACCAAACGCGGCCGGGGAGCATATTTGCCGCTCCCCGCCGGAAAACATCCCGCTTCGTAATTACATTTTGTCCAGCAAGCCCGAAAATCAGCGAGTCAGTCAGAGAGTGCCTAAGCGAGTCCAGAGTAAGTCTGTCTCGCCTCTTAACCAAACGCGGCCGGGGAGCATATTTGCCGCTCCCCGCCGGGAAAACATTTTTCTTCGTACTTACATTTTGTCCAGCAAGCCCGAAAATCAGCGAGTCAGTCAGAGAGTCAGCCAAAAAAGTAAGTGTGTCTCCAACTCGAATTTCCTTCGTCTCCTTCCCAAAACGGGCTCCCACTATGGCTTCACTTATCGCCCCCTTAATTATGGCAAAATCTTCGTTTTCAACTCCAGAATGCGGAAATAAGGGTGATCGCGCATGCGCGCCCTTCTTCACTTAGCCAACAACCGGACCCTCAATCGCCAAAAAACCTGAATGACTTACATTGAAAAGACAAGTAGCAACCTTTGACCTTTCCGTCACGTACTTTCTCTCTTAAGGTCAACTAACAATGAAAATTCTTTCTCGAACATTCTAAAGCGCGCGAAATCATGACTTGGCGAAAAATTGCCTCCCTTTCCCTGCTTCTTTCACAATGAATAAAAGTTTGTACAAGATTTACAAATAGAGGAAAATAAATAATACTCTTTTAAACTAAATAATATTTCCAGAAGCATCTGTTTTTCCCCAAAATTAAAGCCTTAAATTAAATAATTCAGAATCAAAATAAAATTTAAATTTCCATAAATCATAAAATCATTCACCTAATTTTTATAACGCTATCCGGTAATTTCTCTACATAACAAAACTTTCTCTTGATAGTCTATTGAGTTCATTTTAATATTTTTTCCATTCTTCTTATTTTTAATTTCTCACTGTAGGAGAATCCTGAGACAGAAACTTACTTTGCATTGAGAGAACCAAACTCATATATTTTTTCTTTTTCGTTTTTGAAAGTAAATAATTGACTTTTTGCAGTCATAAAGGTAATTTTATCATTTATTCTTTAGATCATTATGTGTACAGCAGTAGTTATGCTTCGATTGCATAGTTTTGCTTCTATTAGTCCGTATTCGCTGTAGCCTCGAAAACAAATTTCAAAGCAATTCATATTTTATTTTTTGTGAGCTCTAATTTTAACTTCTCATATTGCACAAAGTATATCACGAGGCTTATACAAGTAAGTTACACCCCTAACAAGATAAACAAATATACAATAGCACTGCAAATAGGGAAAAATTGTTAAAAACAATGAATAAATTAAAATAATAAATAAATGAAGAAAATAAGTGAAATAAAAATAAAATTAAAAAAATAATGAAATAATGATAACTCAACAATCTAAATTAAGAATTAAATGTGGAAAATCAGAAAATGTCTCTTTAGTTTGTAAACGTTCAGGAAAAAATTGGTTGCCAAGATACAGACAGGTGCTTCAAAGTTGCCTGAAGTATCTTCCTCTGCTGGACATCATGAATGCACTCAAGAAGAATAAGTTTAGCATCCTTGCACGCACACATCACAAAGCACTTGAGGCAAATCTAAATCGCTTTAAAAACAGCAATAAATAAAATATAATTGTTCAACAACAATTATACTTTATTTGACCAAAATAAAAGTAAATTATAAAAAAATAGTGCACAAAATTATTTTTAATGCATAAATTATTTTTTATTTTTCAATCAAATCTCTTTTTGTGTGTTTTTAAAGTTCTGGGATAAGATGCATATTTCAGTTTTTCTTCTCGCTGTTTGTGCCTGTACTTTAGGTTTTTGTTTTTGAACTTTGACATTGCTGGACATCAGTTGAACAACTCTCATTATTATAAATATTAAGAGCTGAACAACAATAAAAATTATTGGAGTGGTAAGAAACGTAGTCAGAATATGTTATGGAAATGGATTCCAAAGCTGAACGTAGCTTTACATTCGACAAATGACAAACGATACAGTTCGCTTCGACAGAGAAGTGACCGAAGAGGAAAGGCCAAAGAAATATCTAAAGGCATCGATATTGGAAATTTTAAACAATCAGACACGAATTGCTATAAATATACATTTGAAAAATGATTTATGTTAAAGACATTTGAAGAAAACCTGTGGAAAAA